GGGGAAGGGGGAAGGGGGAAGGGGGAGGGCCAGTGTGATGGATGTAAAGTTTGAGATTAAAAGATAAGTAGGAGAAAAAGAGGGAGACGGATGAGGCAAATTGAGAGAACGAAGACGACGATGGGATACGAAAGATAAGAATGAATGACTGAAAGAGAAAGAGGAAAGAAGTACTAAAGAAGAATGGGAAAAGACAGAGCATAAAAGGAAATAGAATAAACTAAGAGAAGAAGAAGGAGGAGGACGAGGAAGAGGACGAGGAGGAAAGCAATATCAAAACAAAATGAATAAAAGAAAAGTAAGTAGGAAGAAGATGAAAAAGAAGCAGAGAAGAGGAGGAGGCGAGCAACAGAAAGAAAAAAGAAACAGAAAGAAGAAGAAGAAGAGAAAGAAGAAGAAGGAGAAGAGAAAGAAGAAAAATAATAATAAGAAGAAAAAGAGAAGAAGAAAGAGAAGAAGAGAAAGAAGAAGAAGAGAAAGAAGAAGAGGAGAAAAAGAAGAGAAAGAAGAAGAAGAAAAAGAAAAAGAAGAGAAAGAAGAAGAAGAAGAAAAAGAAAAAGAAGAGAAAGAAAAGGAATAATAATAAGAAGAAGAGGAAGAAGAAGAAGAAGAAGAGGGGGAGGAGGCGGAGAGAGCCTAATCACCAGCCCCGCGAGCCAACTTTCTATGACTTGGAAGCACCACTTTGCCGGCTATTGGAAAACGTCACTATTCAACAGTCCGGATCGCGCACGTGTTAATTGTTTAAGCGTTCTGGCTTCCGATGCTAAAAGCTTGGGTCTGTGTAGTCTTTTGTTTGTTTTATTTTTCATTAATTTATCTATATTTTTTATACATATTTCCTTTTATTTTCTTATCTTTATTATTATTATTATTATTATTATTATTATTATTATTATTATTATCATATTTTTTACATCGGAAAATAAAATGTAAAGTATGTTATTTAAAAGCGTGTGAAACTGCTTCTGTAATGAGGTATATATATAGCAGCTTAAAATAAAGTCATACATGTATCGCATATTGTTCTGAAATGATCATAAACAGTTTTTTTTACGAGATGATTATGTACTGAATTTTTCCACAATTAAGTCATAATCATATAAAAAATAAAATGTTATCCAGCTGTCGTTTCTCTGGCTGCATTGTTCCTCTAAAATGCTTCCATCTTTAAATAATAACGATGATAGTGGTTGTGATGCTTATAGTAATAATAATAATGATAACATTAATACCAATAAAATATAATATCAGTAACGATAAAGATAACGAAAATACTAATGCTAATGTTCTTTTAACGAAGCAAAATACAAATTACAGAAAAAATATTAAAATCTTCCTCTATCTAACAGATTATGGCCAATGCCTACAAGTTCAATCCGTTTTCCCTTTGTTCAAACGAATATTATATTCATAGAAAACGAGATATGTTTCCCGCATTTTCTGTCAAGTTCGATCGTAAAGAGAAAATGGGGAAAAATATCTTGTACAACTTGTCTATTTATTAAACAAGATTAATCGTATGTCTGGAAAGAGGAGATATTTTTTCCCGATAATATCAAGAAAGAAGCAAAGAAAAAGAAAGAAAAGAAAGGAGGGGGAGAAGAAGAAGAAGGAGAAAAGATGGGTGAAATTAGTGCGCTGTATCAAAGTTAACATGATTTCAATCAAGTAAATTCGAGTTTGCATATAAATGGCGTCGGGACCTATATCACCCGCCCTCACACACACACACACACACACACACACACACACACACACACACACACACACACACACACACACACGCACACACACACAAACAAATCAAAATAAAATTAGAAAAAATAAATATATTTATATATAACAAAACCACCTAAACCGCAACGTTGCCAATGCCTCCTTTTTTAATACATTTTCATCATAACCACGGTAATTTATGTCCACATTATCGTGATTACGAGAATGATTGACAGTGACGTTCACAATCACAAATGCTATTATTTGATGCAAATTTCGCTAATATTCAGGCGCGGAAAATCATTCCAGCCTTTCAATCTGTTCCTCCTTTTTCTTCGTTATTTCACATAACGTACACTTTCCCTGTTCTCATTCCTTCCCCACCACGAACATACATTCTTCCTGTATTTCCCTAAAGTTTCACCCTTTCCTTCATAATAAACCTAACTTTATTCCCGCGACTTCGGAGGGAATGACTTAAGTTGAGTGATCCTGAATCGCGTCCTTCTAACGGCCTGTATAATGCCTTGAAGCCTAGATCCGGGTCGAACTTTGGCGAATCCTCCGGGCTACGTAGGGTGCGTTGCCGTCGCGGGTTTTCGGGCGGAAATTCGACTCTGTTCCTCTGTTTCTATTCGTGTGTCTTTCGTTTCTTCTCCTCTTTTTGCTTTTCTCTTTTTCTACTTTTTTTGTACATGTTTTTTTTCTTCTGACTCTTCTTCTTCTCCTTCTCTTTCCTTCCTTTCTACTTTCATTCTTTCTTTCATTCTCTCTCTCTTTCTTGTTCGTCCTCCCGTCCTATTCTCCCTCTTCACCCCTTCCTTCTTCATCTCCCTCTCCTTCTATTTCTTTTATCCGCCAAGATATTCTTCTCTCCCTCCTTCTCCTCCTCCTTCCTCTACACCCCCAATATCCTTCTCATCCTCCCTCTATCTCCCCATATCCTTCTCCTCCTCCTCCTTCCTCTTCCTCTTCCTGGGCGCCCTCCCCAACGCCCACGCCCGAGATTAACATCTGCCAATGCTAATATGCTAATATTTACACACGGCCTCCCGCTAGTTCAATTAGGCCCCACCTGCCTCAACCTGCACTCCTTTCGAGACTAATCCTGACCCACCGTAAGTCCCGGCACGACTGGAGCTCCAGAAGTACAATCTTGACCCATCATGAGTAAGTCCGAGCGCAATTGAGCTGCCCGAGGTTAATAGTTGACCCATCATGAGTAAGTCCGAGCACGACTTGAGCCCAAGATTAATAGTGACTCATCATGAGTAAGTCTAGAGACTGCATGAGCTATAACAGAGTTAGTCATAACCCATCATGAGTGAGTCCGGAGGCTACATAAACTATAGCCGAGTTCATCGTGACCCATCATGAGTAAGTCCAAATTCTCCCGGAGTTAGAGCGAGATCAATCAAGCAAACCCACAGTCTAATTCCTTCAGTAGTACAAATCACATTACAAAAGAACGAGTCCGGAGGAGGACATGGCTATAACAGTTCTAAAACAAGTAATCCCAAAGAGGAATCCAAAGTTTGAGATGAACTATAAACTTGGAAACAACTTTATATCCATTACGTTGAGACGTTCCTGTTCTCGACTTGTTTCGCTGGTTTGGTGTGTTCCTATTTTGTGAACAGGGCGGGATTGGACGTTTCTTGTATGTTAGATATATATCCTAGATTATTTGCTAGCTTAATAATGTGCCTTTCTATTGTGAACGTGTGCGCAATTATGCTCATACACCCAGGCAATTGCATATGCATATACACAGACTTAAATACTAGCGCACTCAAATACAAGCACATGCACACGCATATACACACGCAGACACTTATAAGTACACTGTTTACATTAGCGCGGCTTTTGTAATAAGAATCGCGAAATTGTAAAAATATAAGAACGACAGACGCAGCATGAACACACACAGGGAAAAAATGACATAAACACACACATATGATTTTACATCAACTATTATTACCATCACAAAAGCATTCAGTTTTCATCCTAAATATAACATGGACCCACCATACCCATCCCCACTTCTACACATCCACGCCCATACATATTTTTACACCCACGCCCACAACTACACTAACACCCACGCACACACCTACACTCACGTCCACGTCCACCCCCACTTCTACACCTACTTCTACACCCATGCCCACACCTATATTCACGCCCATGCCTACACCCACGCCCACACCCACGCCCACTTCTACACCCATGCCCACACCTACACTCACGCCCATGCCTACACCCACGCCCACTTCTACACCCATGCCCACACCTACACTCACGCCCATGCCTACACCCACGCCCACACTCCCTCGCCACACACGCGTACGACCTGCACCAGCCGACGCCCGGAGAGCCCAGCGGCACCACAAAAATGTTGCATAAGCCCGCCACAAAGGGAGAGCCACGGATTGGATTCGAGAGAAATTTCAACTGGAAAACTTGGCGAGTCAGTCCCCCGGGGTTGGGGGTTGGGGGGGTGAGGGGGGGTTGGGGGGGAAGTAATCTAACCTTGGCTTGCTCAGGGGAAAGGGGGGAAAAGGGGGGGGGTAGAAGAGGGGGAAGGGAGGTAGAAGAGGGAGGGGAAAAGGGGACAAGGATGAGGAAGAAACGGAAGAGGAAAAGGAGAGAGGGAGTGGAGTATAAAGAGAAGAAGAGGAAGAGAAGCATGGCGGGAATAAGGATAAAGAAGAAGGCAAAGAAAAGAAGAAGAAAAGAAGAAGAGAAGAAGGAGGAGGAGGAAGAAAGAGGAGGAATGAGGAGGAAGAAGACAAGGAAACGGAAAATCAGGAATATAAACAAAAGCAAAGGCGAAGAAAATAGAACAATAGAAAAACAAAGAGGACTCGAAAGAACACTCCCCCCTCCCTTCCACAGCTCTCCTCCGAACCCATCCACCCACCCCACCCCCATTCCTCCTCACCCACCCCCTCCCTCACCCATCCCCAACCCCTACCCACCTCCACCCTCAAACATCCCCATTCCAACTCAACCCCACCCTCAACCCCCACCCCCACCATCCCCCACCTCCACCCCACCCTCACCCATCCCCACCCCCACCCCACCCACCCCCCCACCCTCACCCTCACTCCACCCCGACTCAAACCAGCTAGCGACTCACCTAACCAGCTGGCCGTCCTTGTACCACCTGACGACCGGCGGTGGCTTGCCTTCCGCCTTGCAATTGAGTGTTGCAGGCTCGTTGCGTGGCACAGTGATGTCCGTCGGGTGCTCCGTGATGCGGGGGGACCGGAAGGAACCTGGGGGGGGAGACAAGGAGGCTGATGAGAATGAATAACGATAATGGTAATAATTTACGTAATAACAACATACAGCAATAGTACAAACATAAAAATGATAATAATGCACTAAAGGACAAAGAGTAATATATATGCTTACATTATATATACGAATCATAAAACCAACCTTTTAATGTGTTCCAAAACAACAACAAAACGTACCTAATTATTCATAAGAAGCAGAACCAATTAACTTATTCAAGTTACAAATATCAAAACTTTGCTTACGTCAAAACTGTGTAATTAAGGAAATGCGACTACATGGCGGACGCAGTGATAAAAAAAAACAAAAACAACAAAAAAACTAGTCAGAGATTGCTTTAAAGAACATCTGATATCAGAAATGCATTAACTTAACAAATCGTACACCAACTAAGTAAAGGGACTAATATATCAATAAGCGATAAATAACATCACTAACACACGAACACTTTTTTTTTCAGACACACATATCCCCACATCCGTAAACATACTATATACATACCTATATACAAAGGTACAAATATCCATATATACATACCTACATACATACATCCATCCACCCATCCATATATATATACCTATATACCAATATACACACATCCATCCATCCATATAAACATACGCGGTTAACCAAACGACCAAACCACAAAAGTATCTGAACTAAAACAAATAAAATAAATAAATAAAAACCAAAGAGACAAAGACATTGTGCAACCAACAAAGAAACCGAACTAATGGATCCGACCCGCACAGTATCAGAAACTCGAATCGAACACTCTGAAGTTCCACTAATCCCATACCGTCGGATAAAGCTTTCCCTCACGCCCGAGCTGTTGTATCAAAACTCTTGTGCAGGAGAAAAATGAATGAATAAATGCAATGTTTCAACTTCTCTACGTCTCTTCTCTTTGTCTCTGTCCGGTTCTCTGTGCCTTGGTTTCTTCTGTCTCTTTCTTTCGCTTTGTCTTTCCCTCTCTTTATCTCTCTCTCTCTCTCTCTCTCTCTCTCTCTCTCTCTCACTCTCTCACTCTCTCTCTCTCTCTGTCCCCCTGTCAAAAATATCAACTCATACATGTTTAAATGATACGAAAATGTTCAACTCCTCTTTATCTTTTATTCTCTTTCTCTTTTAATCAAAAATTCATATACATCTCTATGATCAAAGGAATTACTGCGAATTTCTTTCTCTTCCTACTTAGCTCTCTCTTTCTTTCTCTTTCTCTTTCTCCCCCTCCCTCTCTCCTTCCCTTCCCTCGCCCTCTCGCTCTCCCTTTCTACTTCTCTCTCTTTCTCTTACTCCCCCTCCCACCCCCCCCCCCCTCTCTCTCTCTCTCTCTCTCTCTCTCTCTCTCTCTCTCTCTCTCTCTCTCTCTCTCTCTCTCTCTCTCTCTCCCTCTCTCTCCTCTCATTGACTTTTATCCCCCCCCTCGCCCTGAAGCCAAACGCAACTCCTCACACCAAGCGACAACCTCATTACAAGTCAACCAATTACTTTTCTCTTCCCTTCTCCTCTCTCGCCCTCGTCTGCCCCAAAGCACAGCTGGCGAGGACAGCATAACCTAATCTAACCTAACCTAACGTAACCAAACCTGACCTGACCTAACCAGACCTTTCTTTATTCTACCCTAACCTACCCTAACCAGTCTTTTCCTATGTCTATATTTAATTATAAGGTTAATTATACTTAACTTAAGCTTAACATAATCGTACTTTATTTGTTCTTACTTAAACATAGCAGAGAGTTACCTAACTCAGTCTCTCTTAAACGTAACGAAACCTAATATAAACAGAACCCAACGTCAACAAAGTAAACTTGAGGAAAATATGCTAAACTCAATATAACATGTACTAAGCTCGGCTAAATTAAGTTAGCAAATCCTAAATCTAGATAAAAGCAACGTAAATTCACAAGGTTCGGAACACAACGGAAGCTGAGAGGAGATCAGTCTGAAAACGACATTAAATAAGTGAAACAAATAAATTACATATGAATTAACGGCCAAATTGAATTTTAAAAAATCAGTTAACTTAATAAAACAGATAACGACCATTTTTTTTAATGACGAAGCCAAAAACAAATGAATAAACAAAGTTCAATAACCACGCCAAACCAATAAATAATTAAAAATGAAAACGTATAAACCAATAACCAAATAAATCAATAAAAAAAAAAAACAAAAAACAATCAACCCTTTACGAATACCACCTCCCCCCCCCCCAGCACAAAGGCCCACGAGAGGTCACCTTCGTCGCCTGTTTTTGCCCCCGGGGAAAGCTTCTCTCTCTCTCTCTCTCTCTCTCTCTCTCTGTCTCTCTGTCTCTCTCTCTCTCTCTTTCTCTCTCTCTCTCTCTCTCGTATCTAAATTTGCCTTCCCTCTCTCTGTTTCTTTTGTATTTAAACTCTCCTTCTCTCTCTCCCCTTTGTTAATTTATTTCTCACTTTCCTTCTCGTTTCATTTTCCTCGTCTCTCCTCCACTCCTCCTTTCTTCCTTCTTCTTCATCCCGCTCCTCTTTTTCCCTCCTTCCTCCCCCTCCTTTTCAAGAGGCTTCTGATATCGCATCTATTATTAAATGTCCACTCTGTGAACAAATCAACCACCGTGTTTATTCCGCATCTTTTCTTTGCCTTTAACTATAAACTTATTAAATGCCATGAAACTGTACGTGACCGTGTTTTGTGTAACTTCCAGTGACCTGTCCTAAGAGAGAGACTCAGAGACTCAGACTCGGGAGACTCAGCCGCTACTTCGTTGTAAGCTGTACTTTGTATCCTATTTCTTTGAGGCTTAATAAGTATTCCTGAATTTGAATTTGAGTCTTTCCTTCTCCTCCTCCCTCCCCCTGTTCCTTTCCTCTTTCCCCCTAACTCCTTTCCTCTCTCCCCCCTCTCCCCTTTCCTCCATCTTTTCTTCTTCTCTTTCCTCCACTTCCTCCTTCCCCCTACTCCCTTTCCACCTTCTCCCTCCTCCTTCTTCCTCACTCTATTCCCTTCCCCATTTCTTCCCTCCCCTCTATCTCTTTATCTCCCTCCATCCTATCCCTTTATCTCCTCTTCCTTCTCCCCCAACCCCCATCCCTCCTACCCCTTTTCCTCCCTCCCTCTCCCTTTTTTTCTCCTCCTCCTAACCCCTCCCTCCGTTCCACCTCCTACCTCCCTCTCCCCCTTTTTCTCCTCCTCCTCTCCCTTCCTCCCTTTCCTCCTCCCTCCCTCCCTCTCCCCTCCTCCTTCCCTCTCCCCCCCTCCCTTTCCTCCTCCTCCCTTTCCTCCTCCTCCTCCTCCTCCTCCCTCCCTCTCCCCTCCTCCCTTTCCTCCTCCTTCCCCCTCCCCCCTTCCCTCCACCTTACCCACGACAGAGGACCTAAACAAAGGGACCGTGTCGATCATCATCGGCCCAGCGCCTCCCTCTGTGTCTGTGTCTCTCTGTTGCGAAAGTCCCGAACTAAAACAAAAAACAAAAAACAACAACAACAAAAAAAATGACGAAGGCCGATATCACGGGGGTGGGGGTGAGGAGGTGAGGAGGAGGAGGGGGGGGTAGGTGGGTATTGGGTCCCGCTTCCCTGTTGTATTCTCTCTCTTCGATAGCATGGATAAAGGGGGAGGGGGAGGGGGAGGGGGACTCTCTTCCTTTCTCTTGTCCAGGCTTTCTTTCTTTGTCTAGGCTTTCTTTCTTTTCTGTTTCGGTCTGCATGTCTGTCTGTCTGCCTGCCTCTCTGTCTGTCTGTCTGTCTGCCTGCCTCTCTGTCTGTCTGTCTGTCTGTTCGTCTGTCTATTTGTCTCTGTCTCTCTTTTCCTTCCCCCCCCTCTTTCTCTTCTGTCTCTCTCTCTCTCTCTCTCTCTCTCTCTCTTTCTCTCTCCCTCTCTCCCCCCTCTCTCTTTCTCTCTCCCCCTCTCTCTCTCCTCCCCCCCCCTCTCTCTCTCCTCTCCCCCCTCTCTCTCCTCTCGCCCCTCTCTCTCTCTCCTCTCGCCCCTCTCTCTCTCCTCCCCTCCTCTCACTCTCTTTCTCCACCCCCCTCTCTCAGGGGATCCGCTAAGACATCCGGGGTGCTCTGTTGCTTACAACGGCGCTCTAACCCCGAGGGAGAGAGGGAACGAGAGAATGTTTTTCGAGGTGTCAGACAACTTTTTTTTTTGAAGAGGGGGGGGGGGCATATGAGGTCATTTTTATGTAGGTTAATTCTTTGTTTACGTTTTATTATTGTTTAATTTCGTTTTTTCTTTTCAGTTTTAGTTCAATCCAATTATTGGAGCTATCATCATTTATTTAATTCTCTAAAGTCATTACTGGATGATATCTAATATATCATCAATTTAATTTTCTTGTCATTTTAATTTACCGTTTCTGTTTACCGTTCTTTTATATGCCATTAAAATTATTATTACCAACGTGATCATCATCAGAATAAACATTATTATCAACTTTATGACTGTTATCTTCAAACAGATTTTTATTATGTAGCTATCATTATGATCGTCATCATTATTGTCACTATTAACATTTTTACCAATACTACTACCTAGACCACTATCATTATTAACATCAATTATATTGTGGCTATTACGGTTAATGATACTTCATTCAAAATCATTCACATAACACGATTCATTTAATATAATCATCATCACGCTTATCTTTTATATAATTACTTTAATAGCTACCATCATCAACATCATCATAATTTCCTCATTACTACAGCATATCTATTGTTATTATTATTATCACAATTTCAACTACCTCCTGACTATCACTGTTATTATCACTATCTCTATATTCTCCATTACCATCATCAATACCACTCTTCTTCACCGCCCTCTCTTCTTTAACCTTTCGTTAATCCCTCTCCTTTCCTCTTCCTCCTTCCTTCCCTTCCCCGTCCATCGATACTTCGTCTATCTCTTTCCTCCCTCCTCCTCCTTCATTCCTTTGCCTATCTATCTATCGTTCGTCTCTCCTCATCCTCCCTCCCCCTCCTTCCC